GTTTTCAAAGTACAGGTAACATGCAGAGTGGTTAAAACTATGTGCGTGTTTAATGCCCACAGTTCTGTGTTAATGCCTTATTAGAGGCATGTGTGTGGAAACCCTACCATCTGTTCATCGTATACATATAGGCTATCATACACCATTTCATTTGTGTCACAAATTGTCAAGCATTATGTTACCCTGGGTCATTGTGATAATGAAACAGATATTTCTCAATAATATTCCAAAACATATAGATTATCTTGGATAATCATATAAATGTTACAATCCATTAAGCAACCAATTTGTAATCACTATTCTTGAGGGTGCTAAGATGCACACCACTATACCATGTATTTCTATGGGCTCAGTGCAAGCTGCTGTGGAATGCCAGTCAAAAAGCAGGTGAAAAAACAGCACAAACTCAACTTTGGTGGCAAACCTGAACAACCAAATTGATATATCTTGTACATATTGGGGTAATCTTGTTACACTGTTCAGGGGAGTATAAACAACCATCCCAAAGTACAGTTTTCTGAGTGTTTTTCCGCTTTGTTCTCACCAACGATGGTTGCCAGGCAGTGAAATGCCCGGATGTCCACCCCAGAGAATGCTGGGAAGAGTGATCTCCAAGCCAATATAATGCATCACTCTCGGGTACAGATTTTAAGTGATGCATCTAGTTTGAAAATTTGCAATTTGGTAAAATAAAATTCATTTAAGGAAACACAGTGGTAACCTTAAAACATTTTTGATCGACCTCAATGCATCAATATTTCTAGAAATGTGTTTGTTTCATGTTTTCTGTGTCATGTGATCTTCAGTCATGACTTCAAAGAAAATGAGAATTCTACAGTGGTCATATAATGAAACATTCGGTATTCAATAAGACATTAAACTACAATGAAATTCTATCATCCTTTCTTAGAATGACAATTTGACTCTATTAAAAGGATTCTTAATGAACAAATTAAAGTTCATAATATTATAAAGGACAAAGCAAGATAGATTATAAAAATATAGATTACACATACATGCAAGTTATTTTAAATTCGTTTTATAATCCTAATAAGCCATATACTTTTTATTGCTACAATATGAATAAGATTTTAGTTATGAGCATCAAGTTCATGACAAAGAGAAATTTATGACACTGCATTCTCTGAAATTATGCAAATCAATAACATTTGTTACAATTATGAGAGTCTACTAAAATTAGAATATCCAGATTTGTTTTTTCACCAAAGTGCTTTAATTTGCTGTGGCTTTTCAGAGACTGACCATGGGTGTGAAGGACGTTTACTGCCTGACTTAAAACCATTACAAAATAATTTTGATGCTACAAAAGTTATATAAACATTAAGTTTAGTGACATCAATTCTCATTTTCATAATTTGTCTTCAGGTAATATCCAAAGTGGTTAAAACTATGTGCTTGTTTAATGCCGTACTAGAGGCATATGTGTGGAAACACTCCTATTTGTTCATCGCATACATATAGGCCATCATCAGGAGTTTTTCTAGAAAAAAATGAACAAGAGGGAGCACACACAGGCAAGGGAGCAAATCGACCTGGAAACATGATATCGCAAGGTCTCTGCGCCGCTTTAACTGTGATCTTTCACCATTGAAATATTTTTGGAGTAATTTTAGTGTATTTGGTGTCCAGACACATTGTCAGCTGGTGTTGCTGGGAAGTAATATATTTGAGAAAGATTTCATGTTGTACGGCAGCACGGAAATGTGCGGCTCAAGAAATCCCTGATCATACACAATTCATACACACATCATACATAATTTGTCTCCAGTTTTCAGTCAACTAAATTAGCTCCCTAAAAACCATTAAATTACATACTATTTCTGCTAAATGCAGAGTATTTGTTTGGATATTTTAATTGATCTGTTTAGTAGGTGAATTTGAGATCCCCCACATCTACAATTACTCTAATGTCTAGATTTTTATAGTTAATGAGGCAGTTTGATGAAAAAGCCAACAAAATTTGTATAAAGGTTCAGATTTGAAATATGATTAGTTTAATGGCCATAAAGTGATTAAATTGATGATGTAAAGTGAATATAAAACAGATCTATTGTGGGATAATAACTGCAGTTTGTAACAAATCCAAATTTTGCACTACTGTGCTTGCTGTGTTGCTGCAATGCATTATGGGAGAAACCCTTCTATTGCATAATGGGGATTAATTTACCTAGTGGTCTAATGCCTATAAAAAAATGCTTTCACTTAAGTTAGTAGTTAGTTAAAGAACACTGTATAATTTTTAATCACAGTAACAAAGGTGCACCATTCGTGTACCACTATGCTATAAAGTATGATACGCAGCAACGAACGCATTTAAGCGTCAGTTTATCATACTACTTGAGTCGTAGAAAATGAACATCACAGTCAATAATAATCCAAGCTATAAACTTCACCCCAGTCATTACTCACGCAATAAATGGACAACTCAGAAAAAAAATCATCAGATATTATAGTTTGCAAAGAGATGTATTGGACAATTACTTATCTTGCATAGGACTTCTCATATTTATGAGCACTAGAGGGCGCTAACATTACTATAGAGGGCAGTATAAGACAATGCATGGCATTTATTTGATATGTTAACCAGCAATGCAGATCAGAAATAATATTATTCATATGACTACGAATATATATGCAAGTTTCACTTATACTCCTGTATAGTTTATAGAACGCATTGCAGACTGTGTGCACATTGATATAGGTATGGGTATAAGCCGACATGCCTCGATATATTAGCTTGTAACTACGCATCCTAATGGATTTTTAATACCATGAGACTAGCAATCAGAAAAAAAACTTGCATTCTATAGTATGGGAACATTAGCGTTGCTAGGTTCTACAACGGATGACAAGCAACAAGTATGGCCATAAATGAAGTGTGGGTCTTAAGAATGTGACCCATTAATCGGCAGTAAATGCTGACCAACTCGGCGACAATAGTTGCCACAACGAGCAGGAACGAGGGTCTGGCTGCAGTGTAGGTAAGTCTCAAGTATCCTTATTGTTTTCTGTACGAGACTCATCCCGCAAAGAACGGTTGTCATGTTTTTGTTTAATCCGTCAAATTTTGACTGACAGGGGAGAATATTTATTTCTGGGGTTCTTAGAGATTGTGAAGTTAAAAAAGTTCAGAAAGCAAAGTGCGGGTGTGCCATACAGACGTATTCTGAGACCAGGCAAAAAGGTTTGTAATTAATTAGTTATTTTGACATGCAATTGGTGCATAACCAGCTAAATGTTTGATTCATCACGTTTTAGGATGATTTTGTTTATTCCTTTATTAGGTTTTTGAACAAATAGAGATAAGTGGTTTTCCTTGTCCTGTTGGACATAGACATTCATAATGTAGAAAATTTGCAATCAATGGAAACACTAGCGGATTTAATGAAATTCAAGAACAAAAATCATGAAGCTGACGAAATAGCTAACATAACAGTTATTTATTTATCAAATTTCGACTCTGTACTTTTTCCACTATGCATGGCAGTGCATTTAATGCTTGGCACATTAAACTTCCCGATACAATGATATTTATCAGCCACATAACAACTGAATTACAGTAAATACTGAATCTTTAACATCACAACTACAAAAAAGATTATACTATTGTCTAATTCTTGGTGAAACATGGTAGAGCTGAATGCGATGGCTACGTGTGTATGACTGATCGAGGGGGACACACAAGTTGGTGGCAAGACGTCTCTCTTCATTATACGCTACCACTATATTTGGCATAGTTTTAGCAACACCGACTATTGCCACTCACCAAACCGGTTGAAAAATGGTATTATCCACTGAAAGATTGAGATTCTTATTTTTAATTTTAAATACTGTGGAATACTTTATTTTCGCTGGAATTAATTTTCGCTGAAAAGGTATTTTGGGCATTTTGCTTGGAATTTATTTTCACTGATTTTTGATGAGATTAAAATAAAATATAGGAAAAAATGTAAATTCCAAGCGAAAATAAAGTATTCTACAGTATACTAGTTACTGTAATATTGATTTACTAAACTACCGTAGTTGTCCGAGTATAAACCCCTCGAAAAATTGGGGGGGGGGGGGCCTTATAAACAGATAAAAGTTAAAACTTCTCCCAAGCGATAATTTATGCTAATTTATTCATAAACAAATCGTCATGTGTACAATACTAGAGTGTCTTCATTGACTAGCATTGTCCAAATTAACTTGAGAATCGGCCGTTACGCCCCGGGGTCACTAATCACTCTTGGGTGTGTTTACTAAGTGGAACAGCATTCAACCCTGTGTTTCATGTGAATATTGGTCTGTACGTTTCGGGGTATATGTTTGATTTACTGTTAGTGATGAAATGTTTTTAAATTGTTAACATTTTCAGATGAATAATAATTCGTCTAAGCCATCAATGAATATAGCATTATTTGTTCGTAACCAAATCTGTACTCAATTTGCCATTGTCAACTGACATATGTTTAAGTAGAATCACAGAGTGGGTTGGTTGGTACCGTATTTGTAATTATTGAATTTCCTTCCTCCAAATAAAAACACTGTTATAATACCCGGGTTTCTTTCATAGATAAATTATTATTAAGCATTTCTTGGTTAAATATTGGCTTCAGAATCATGTAACACAAAACGATTTTAAATCTTGTTAAAGTTACATAATGGGTGCACTCAGAATCTCTTCTAAGTCGCTTAGCAAAAATCCAGCAAATATTTTTTTAGGTAGTTAAAAGTTGGCCATTTTATTTTAACTATGTCGATGAGCAAATGAGAACAAAATTTAATGCCATAGGTATACTTATTTTATATTTACTTCAATTACCCCAATCTCAAATTTAAAAGACTCATCCAAATTCTGAACACTAGAGGGCGCTGACAAGATTATAGAGGGCGGTATTAAGCAATTACCTCTCTTTATCACTTGGCTCTCTTTATCATTTCTTGACACAATTTACCAAATAGTAGGCTACTTTATTTGAATGAAGTAAAACACTTACCCGCCATACCAGTAACCTCAAAGCAGCATTGAGTTCAGGTTCAATAGTTGCCAACACACCGGGCTAAAAAGTCAATATAAACATCTTTGAATTAAAAAAACAAACAAATACGTGATCTGTCATTTAATATTCCACTATTATCAACTTATTATCAGGAGAGTTGTATTCTCACTACCTATATGCAGAACACCTCCCACCCATTATTGTGATTGCTATGAAAAATGATAAAATATTTGAGTGACAAAGCTAGCATGCAATAAAAGTTGTGGTGTCAAATCACCAAATTAATCATAATTATCATTATTATACATCTGTCACCATAACACCATAAGTTACAGTGTGTCATGATTTTGTGGTACCGGTATTTTACATGGTATGCCACCAGGGTTTGACCAGTCTCCACACAAAGAAGTTCGCTGATTCTGTTCTAAACTTTTTGGATTTCGGCATTCCAATGCTGTGTCCTTGGAAGGAAAAGATGTATAATAATAAGGTTATTATGAGGATACCCTAAAGTATGTACTCAGACAGTACGCCGTCGCATCGACCTCAGATGTGTGTTGGTCGATACTCCTGCTGTACTGTCTTCATGCATACTTTGAGGTATCCTCATCATAACCTCATATTATTGTAATCACTCAAAGCCAGGTTACATTATTTTAAAAGATTTTTACAAATTTGATTTCAAGATTCTGTGCATAAGATTTTTCATGAACTATACAACAAACAAAGTTTTGGGTTTATAGAATAGACTCCTTACATTAGCTTATACTACGGGTATCCAGAGTAATACTTCACATACCTTGAAATATTGGAAAGCACTTGTGAACTGGTTTTTTAGTATCTGTAACAATTCATTGTCCAACTCAGAAGCATCCAACTATTAGAAAAAAATAAATTTTCAAATGTATAGATTTAGTGAAAGTTAAGAAAATTTAAAAATTTAAAAAAAAAATTGTCAAACATGTCTGGGACACAAAGAATAATTTTGAATTTTTGAAAATCATATTTGTTTATTTCTTTAGTACATTAGGACTACAGACCAAATTTTTTTTTTAAAACTGAACTCAATTTGTTTTATTGTGATTATACGGTTGAAAATAAAATTAACAAGTACCCATTTTTCGAATCACTTTAGACTATTCAAACAAACATTTATTGAATCAAGTTATGGATGGATGTAGTGATTTTGACCTCCAACACTGTCATCAGCAGTGAATAGAAGTTTCTCACATTTTTCACAGTACAGTATCCGTACCAATACTACCTTTGTATTGTAACTGCACTTTGTTACCAATGTAGCTATATATTAAAGACATAGAACCTCAGAAAATACAAGATATCATTGTTATCGCAACAACAATGAATCACTGGTTAGAGCACAAGTACTATTTTGCCTTAAGGCACAAACTTCCGTCAGTGATACTCATAACACAGTTAAGAATTGATACACATGGGAATAAACACACTTTTAGGCTATATTTATTTCTCCCGTCTAGGCATGGGAGAAACATTTTATGTAATCTCCCATACTTGGCAAAATTCCTAGGACATCCCTTAGTTTCCCTCAACAATAGGCATTCTGAATGACGCACAGTGAGTCACCAAAGTTCAGCAAAGTTTTATAATCTTGATTCGTTAGTAGTGTTCTCCATAGATATTATTTAGCGTGCCATTATCCTCATATTCGGCATACATAAATCATCTAGACATCTCATTTACAAAGTAATAGCAAAAGATTGATTTCAACGGAAGGCTTAAGTACAATCATTGTGAATGAAGAGCGACAAAATATCCCAGGCATTGTCCGCGGTTCACCTTTTATCCTTGGTGTACTTGTGCACAGAGTACATTCAGTTTTTCTCAAGACCTTTATTATCACACACAGAAAAGTAAGCAGGGTTTCAACTTTGATATTACCGGTACCAGTACTTAATGTAAAGACTAAGATTTCTATGGGGTATCTGAGCAATTATATATGCATGGTCTTCATGAATTTTAAGCCATGACTGAGTAAACATAATATTTATTAATAACAATATATTTATTAATAATAATAATAATTATTGACAAAACACTGACTTAGGTGAGTAAAGTAAGTAAGTATGGTCTCAAAAAAAGAAGATAAAAGTGCAAGTAACATAAATTACAAAGAAAAATTAAATATAAAGGTTAAAAGGGCACCTTCCAGTTAAGATTAATTTCACAACACATTTACTTTCTGGATTAAAATAACAATGGATAACAAAAGATAGATTAACATTGTAAACAACATAAACAATAGTGTCCCATGATTCTTTGGTGCAATCCATGGGATTGAGCGGTTCCCCTTTAAATAATAAAAAGTAACCATAGAGAAAAAACAATATTGTCTCGATACTTGAATCCAATAGCAGATATAAGACTTCTTTCTTTATATGCACTAATGCACAATAGTGGAAACTCACAGCCACAGATCTAAAATCTCTGTGTACAATTGGGACAAGCACTACGAGTAGTGAGGTTTTAACAAGTACCAGTACTTGCAATTCATATCTTTGAAAATTTTTCAGTTCAAAAGTACTGCAAAGTATTTCTGTTCATACTTTGAGACATTTGTCATGTATTTTCAAGGGTCTGCATATTTTCCAAAACGAAGATTGTCACACTGAGTGTATTGGCTCATATCAAATACAATTTTGTAAATTTGGAATTAAAAGCAGGGTGAGCGTCACATACATTGAATGCATTCACAGCGGACTGTGATGGTACATTAGATCCAAGCTACGGCAGCAGACAATACACTGACGAGCTCACAGTGAATCTTATCATAATACACAAACTTAAATACTCCACACTTAACAAAGTAGCCACAGTTTTGTTTATATCCAGTCTCCATGGTCATAATTTAATTAAGGTTGCTGGGACTAAAGTATTTAAGGGATTCTTATAGATGTACACCTCACAGATACAAAGCCAATGTCAGACAGTCTTCATCTTCAGTCTTCGAATATTTAATTTCTGCTGCAAGCTTTTTTTATTTATCGTAACTTGATAATGATGATATTTTTTGTATATCACAGACCTCAATGACAATCCTCCCAGTAATAGTTTTCTGTTCTCCCACTCCCTGACACTGAGTTGTTTAAATCTCAATTACCTGACAATAATGTAGATGTTCAAGCTACTTATTAGTGTCAGTGCATTCTAGGTTGTGAGGTATCCATGGCAAATTGGACTTACTGAGAGACAGAATTGCAACAGAGTGATGAGACGGGACTAAATCTTGACCTGTCATAGTCAGGTCACTTGCTTTATCCTTTTAACAACTAACTTTCTTTTTGTAGTAGTAGTTATCACAACTAATCTTTATTGCTATTAACTGATAGAAACATTGTATTTCTAAGGATGCAATATAGCTAATATTATTATCATTATTATTATTATTATTATTATTATTATTATTATTATTATTATTATTATTAACTGTCAAATTAGAATTCTGGAGCTACTAAACCTCGGCTATGAAGCCAAGATCCCCGGCCAAGATCTCATCTCAGGAAGGCTGACAATCTGTTAAGACTAACATCGCAGATTGACATTTTTTACGTCAAGACCAACTTTTATAACAGTGGAATTCTATTTGAGCTTGAATATGAATTCTCGCACTTAGAAAACAAACGTAGCTTTCTCTAGTGCAGAATTTAGGACTGGTTGCGGGGGGGGGGGGTGTCGTTGCAGGGCTGTTCTCTTGCCGTGGTTCTCATGATACGGTACCTCGACGGGATCGCCCAGGAAGTCCCACAAACATTTCAGATATCACGTACTGAGAATTTTTATGAATTTAAAGAATTAAAAAGGATTCTGAGTTGAACTACTTGTGGAATTGTTGATCAACAAGTCAGTATCAGTATTCAAATGATCATTTTGAAGACAATCTACAATCAAAGCTTGGCAGACTTCCGGGTAACTGACAGTGAGAACATATATTTTGCAATTATATGGTTGACACACATTAGCTCTCCTGGGCAGGTGTGTCATCAAATCGAAGAAGAAAATCCCACGTTTAAGTCAACATACCTGGCTTACTCTCAGGACGACCTGGTCATGGTCTGCTGTGTCGTCGTCAGCCATGTTCATTCATAAATTCTTCACAAATGTAACGTTATCTGTGATTGGTTAATGGTAGGGTCACTTAAGGTCAGGAATATCTTACGCATTAAATTAGACAGATAATTCATGAGTTCCTTTTTGGAGTTTTTTCTGTGACTTTGATTCATCATATTTTGTTTCCAACAGTGTTAAAAAATAGCCTAAGATACTGATTTTTAACTTTCTAATAAAAGAACTTCAAACAAAACTTCAGCCAATCATAACGACGTTTATAAAAACGATATAAAAACAACGCATGCGCTTCAAAGTTCAATAAACTAGTACGAATTTTTGGGAGCTTGCCCATCGTATGCAGTACACCGGTGGTAACGGGTCTCCTGCTTCCTGGTCGATTGTCATTGGAGTTTGTTCAGTTAGGAAAAAATCTGTGTGCAGGTAATATATCAGATAGCATTTACTCAATGCGATCACTCGCATATAACGTTCTAACGGTCCGCGATGACTTAGAAAGTCTTTGTCGGTTCGGGCTGTGGAGAAGTCTTGTGTGTGATGCTCCGATTAGATGCATATCAAATGTCAGCGTCTCTACACTGACAGTTTTTTTACAGCTTCGCCCATTCCCTAACTGACCTTCCCTGTTATTTGTAGGCCTGAGTGTCACCTGCGCTGTGTCCCCGAGTATTTCCTGCTGCTATCGCGATAAAAGACGATTTGCTGCAGTGATTGTAAACATAGATCAGTCATTGCAATATTTACTACGGGTGACAAATTCATTTCACGCAGCCTTGAAATGTACATCGCTATTCTGTTATAGTTGTTTAAAATCACGATTTAGATATGCTATAACGGAAACACGCTTCCCATGCTTAACAAGGAAACGTGTACATTCACATTTATAGTAACGGCACGAGTGTCAGATTTCATCGGGGTCACCTAACGCGTTTTACTACGACTTGTCGGGAATGTCTCGGTAATCGCAGCACTATAGTGGGCGTATTTGCTACCAATGCTCGCTCGTTAAAAGCACCAAGCGCATTCCACATGGACGCATTACTGTGTAGCTTCAGAAAGACAATAGACTTTGCAACAAATGCCGGTAAACAAAGTGTGAATCACCAAAACTAAAAAGATAAACAAACAAATCTAAGCAAATTAGCGTGTCTGTTTCTAATGCGTACTTGATACCCGATGCGGGACGCTGATCCAATACGGTTATTGAGGGCAAATTGCCAAACATTATAAAACAAATTTACAGTAAAATTACCACGTATAAAAGAAAAAAACTGTCAGCATAATAGATTTATAAACATGACAACATTTCGCTTATTTTACACACACATATGCATTTTATTTATTAGTATGTGATTTGTATTCAGCTTTTAAATTTCAACAATTGTGGTTTCCATGGAAACCATGATGCAAGCGACATTCTATGTACCTTGATCTTTTATTGTCCTCCTTCAGGCAAACCTTTTTAATAAACACCCAAACAATGGGGTTTGATTATAGAATAAACACTTGTGCTTATAAAATGCAGTTTGCCTCATTATTTTTTTTTTACCGTTTTCTGTATGAAGTATGTGAAATTATCAAATACTCTCAGTACTTACAGCTTAAAAGTTTCTTAACTTCTTGATAGCAACTTTGGCTGTTATTATGTATTGCGATTACATGTACTTATTATTCTGTAATTCGTTATCTGTCTAATGTGTAGTATATTTCGTTTCAAGGTAAGTGTATATCCTATAACTACAGGAATTGAATAGGAATGCAAGTGCAATATTTCATTGATCAATCAAGTGAGGAGCTTTAATTACACCACAGGTTTAAGAGTTATTCTCTTTGTGTCTAGCTTTTTTTCTAATGAGCACAAGTCGTAGAATTGTTCAAGGTCTATTGTATTTCCACGTTCAGGACAGAATACAATGCGAATAGTTTTCATGCACACAAAAAATTGTCCCCCAGCACATAAAACATTGACTGGTTCCATAGTTTCTTAGGTAGTGCATGATAAGAAGGTGGTGGTTGTTGGCTGAATGCCAGCGTGGTCGTGGCCGAGTATTGACACACTGTCAGTGGGCTGACCCAGCTGAACCAAACAAATTAAATAGCGAGTACTCAGGTGCTTCCAGGTGTTGCTAGCAGCCAACGTAACATGGATGCCGATCATACTCAGAAAGAAGAAAAGATACTAGAACCGAAAGAGGAAGACAGTGACGTTGAAGACCAGTCTGTTGACCAAACTGCCGATATTGAGCAACAATCAATTGATACTGAACAGTTTGAGATTACAGGGGAGCAAGCAGAGGGTGCAATTGCTGAACACGTGGAAGTTCAAGAGGAGGAGGAAGAGGAGGAACTTGAGAACGAACAACCAGACATTGAATATAAAGAAGAAGACAGTACAGATCAAGAGGAAGGTAGTGCGGATGAGGAACAGAGGTTCATTGAACCAGAGGTGGGATTTTTGGATTAATTGCTATGGCGTGTTTTATCAGTGTCATTTACCATAGACAAATAACGGATTGTAATAAAAGCATAAAAAGAAGCGAGTATGTCATTGATATGCATGAGTTGGGACGCGTACACATTGTCCCAATCAGGGATATCATTGTTTGCATCAAAGTATATTTGCACATTGGCTCAGCAATCATGTACTTTATTATATTGGTCTTTATTTATTTCACATTTTTCCTATGGTAGCATTTCTTTTATGACCCTCCCTACCTCCAAGATAGGTTACTTATATTCAGTTACACTATGATCAGATTAACATGTCCTCCACTGGTCAGATAATAAAATTGCAAAGAATACGTGATCTGAAATTGTTGTTGAAAGTTTGCACAAGGAACCAGTGGAAAAGGATTCAAACAGTCAAAGCACGTTGTTTTTTTATTTTGCTGAATTGATTGTGTATGACATTATTGTTCATACATGTCATCCGTTCGTTGAACTATCATTTAAATATAAAAAGCTCAATGAAAGGAGTGTCTCAACCGAAGATTTTACCTGAGTAAATGTCAGCTAAAGCCTTTCCGAGTAACAAGCAAAACTGTCCTGAAGAATTTCACTCTATGTCTTGACTCAACAGATACCAATGTCTCGGTTCTAAAAGCTGAAATGATCCGTGATGGGACTGTTAAAGGTCCTGCTCACCATTTTGTTGAGCTGCCCTATTTTCCCAATTTTCTGTATCACTGATTGTTTTTTTGTTTTTTCAATAAATAACACATTAGAAAAGATGCCTTTGTCCTCGAGAAGACTGTAACAATAAGTGTTCTCCATCACGGACCACGTAGACTCAATCTCTGTATATCTTTTGGAAAGAGAGACACTGAATTTAAAGACTGTGTCAATGTTTTTGAACTAATTTAATAAGATAGTAAACAGTGATTGCTGTTTTGTTGAATTACATTTTGACCCATTTTGCTACAGTCTACCATATTGAGTTTTTCTTAAAATGAAAGCTGTCTGTTATGTGTACACTTGTCAGATTTGCTCCGCTAATGTTATTTGTCTGGCTTGGCTTTGTCTGGCCTTGTTGAACATATAAACATATAAATTTTACCGGTCACTGGTAGTATAGTGGTTTTTGCATCAGACTCAGGTGCCTGTGTTCGACTGAGCCTGGTTGACGCCAGGATAGCGCATTAAAATTGCCATTTGATACCAAAGATTGACGCACAGCCCTGTCATGTAGTCACAAACATGAATATAACTTCTGTGGCAAAAATGCACTCTGTGTCAGCACTAGCACTTGCAATTTGCACATACAAAAAAAAGTCAGGAGAGACAACAGTGACAGTCAATGTCTAAAACTGTCGCCTAGCACAAAAACATTTAAAAAAAAATATATAAATTCTACATTCAGTACCGGTATTGTCATTTCAAAAATTAATTACTTGCAATGAAAGAATGTGCTATATTATTGCATAAGACAAACTATCATTAATTTGCAGAGTTCTGGTAAATTAAATATTTCCTGGGATGCTTGAGTTTGATTTCTCAAAGCAATAATTTAACATTTTGCAACCATTTGCAATCACAAAGTATAAATGTGTTTGTGTGATTTTTACCCCAAACTTCTTTATTTTATTTTAGTCTATTTTCTCGTTATGCAGGATTAAATCAACAAAAATCAAATCTTGGTGAAAATACATCAAAAGTATCTGATAATAATGTACATAAAATACAAACACATTTGTTATTCAGAATTCCAATTGAGAGAAATTATTTTAATACTAATCAAACCCAAGGTTGAACTTGAACTTTACCGATAATGAATCAAAGCAACAATCACTTTGCCGCCAGGGACCAATAGAAACAAAAATCCAAGGAGGATTAATCTGATTATTCCGTGCCAGACAATCAAGGCTGATAATCCAGTGACAAATCTCCCAAGTTCTATAAATTTGATAAATGGCTATTCCCTATTGTTTATGTGTCTCATTATAATATTAGCAATAATACATAAACAATACCTCCTTTGTCAATTGAGGAAACTATGGTCAAAAAGACTCCCTAACATACTGTACTATTGCTCATCAGCTGCATGAATTTTTGTTTTCATATTGCTGTGATATCAAGTATAGGTGTGGATACATTCAATATTTGATTTGCTTGGTTTGTAATGTTGGAGGAAGGAAGTATCATTTCATAGTTATTAAACATGCAACTTTGTTGTTGCTGGGAAACCAAGCAACTCATCACCTGATGGGAGAGATTTCCTGTGAGTTTTTATCAGTGTTTCTAGATTAAATGCTATCTTTAGAATTCTGCAAGCAATAAGAATGGATGGTTCATTTTCCCAGTAATTATTAAACTGAATATGAATGAAAAATAAAAGGGATAAACGATGGAAATAAATCAGGGAGTGTTGAGGGAAGATTGTAACTTATCTCTGTTTCTTGGGTTGACTTACTACATCGCTGTTCAAACATGGTCATCAGTATAGAGTCCTGAAAAGGTGCAAACAAAGCTCTACTTTTTCTTATTAGATGAGTTCAGTTGTTTCAAATAACTTTAAAATTAAACCGTTACCAATATAGGAATTTAATTAATGAGTACTATTGATACTTGTTCTTGCTGGTGTTCCCTCTAAGCCATGTTTTGGCAAAAAAAATTTTTCGGTCGGGTAACTAGGTTTCTCAGTGGTAGACTGAAAAACTTTTCCTTTTAATTTCCTGCATTTTGTATTCAAATATTACTGATTGTGCAAATTGCTTTTTTTTTGGGGGGGGGGGGGGGGGCTTGTTTGTGAATTTTGTTTTGTGACAGATTCTTCTGAGTAGATTACTCAAGTTTAATGATAGTCTTAGTTTCATTTAAAATGGACAATTTTGTTTTCAGTTTTAATTGCCAAAATGATTGATTTCTTTTGAGAAACGTATAATGACAATAAATGACTGCTTTTTAATAAAACTGACAGGCAAGCTGTCTGATGGGTGGTCTTCAGTTTATATACTAAGATGCTTGCATTAATAAAAGAACCTGGTCAGTTGCATTGTTGGTAATATGTACCTTTACCCTTTGCACTTCTATGTCAATTCATTGTACCTACTACGATGTTTGATAAATGTAATAAAATTTGCATATTATCGTAGACTATAGTTGGTTATCATGGTAACAGGAATTATATGTTGCTCGGTAATGACCACCTGTCCCACAACCTTAGCTACCCTTTGTCAGCCAGAGTACATATTAAAAGTTTAATTAATGAAGCTAGAAAAGTTGAATAAAATGAAAGCATTTGCCTGTCTGTGGAATGTTCATGATTTAATCAGTGCCCCATTCTTCTGATGAAAATAGCTGGTTTGGTGTTACATTCTCAACCTAATTAGCCACTATATCAGTGGATAGTAGGGGGAGGAGTTACATGAAATGGAACAGCCAATTTAGTCTCCTCAACAAAGTGCTATTCCAACTGGTGTTGTGTTGAGGCAACTAATAAAAGCATTAAGTTTGAGCTTAATGTTTTGTTTCTTTTTAAAACCAAGAAGTTTTAATGTATTTTGCATAATAGGATAGAAATTCCAACCAATGCTACAATAAAAATACAATTAAAATGCTACCATGTTGTGTTGCACACAAATTCAGACTGGTTTCCTGAACGATTGTTAGAAAACTTCATTTACTGTATCCTACTCCTACCGGTATATCTAAGAAGACATTTTCAGTGTGAGCTGAAAAGCTTTTAAAAAATGGACCAATTGTAGATTTACATGTAGAAGTATGTGTACTTTAGTGCATACCAAAGTAAAGAAGGTTTAATTTTTTGAAAATATTTTCATTCTAAAATTATAAATTTAGAATTAGATTTATAGAATTAGAACTCATGATTGCAAAATGGCTTGGAAGAAACAGCTTACTTTATTAAATACTTCCCCATTTGCTAGGCAATGATGCATGGCAGATCATTGTTGTAGTAACAGTTACTAAGGTAATGATAGCATCATGGCAACCACTGTGGTAGCAGCCATCTTTAATGAGGAGATTCCAGCTTGCATGCAATAATGTAACACAATGAAACTCACAGGTCTTGAAATTTTACAAGTTTCGCTTCAATGATGGGGAACATTAATTTGTGCCATTTGATCGGAGAAAAACAAGCAAATACTAAACACTTTCTTTGGAAGGAGCTGATTACAAAAACTTTCATAGAGTTACCAGGAACACATAAAATGTTCTGCTCTAGTGATCAACTATTCATTTGGTTTCTCTTCATTCCAGTTTAAGTCTATATGTATCGTAAATCAGGATTAATGTTTTCACAACATGCAAAAGAGGTATCGGTTGGTGTTCAGGGTTTCACATTTTTTAAGCAATGTACTGCAAAATATTTCATTAAAGATGTGATTCAGTGAAATCAACCTTTAATAAACAGCAAAAATAATTTCTTCAAATTATGAATCGCTAAAATATTTCTACAGAACAATGGGGTTAAACCTTTTAGCATATTTTTTTTCCTATTCAAATTGTTAAATTTTTTGTACATATGGATTTTTTTTATAATTACCGTACTCTGTCAATTTTACATCAAATGGAAATGGGTTTCTTTTCTGAGAACTGAAGTATGTGACAACTTAATGTAAATAAAAAAAATGTTCATGATAAGAGATAAAATCTGAACAGGAAGTTTTTACTTTAACAAATTAGTACTTTAGTTTAACAAATTTGCCAAATAATGTTTTTAATTCCCTTATGAAAAGATTTTTTTTTTTTTGTGCTGTTTTTAAAAAACATCTCCGTGCAAACTCAAACTTTTATCTCAAGTGAGAAAATTTTTTTTCTTGTTTTCAAAATGTCTACTATATCCTGGGAAAAATTAAAAGCAGGATTAGTTTGTGGTTGCTGTAAGATGTTATCACATGGGCTTAATCACCTTTAATCTCAAGTTGAGTTTTTTGTAGTTGTCTATGAAAGGAAGAATCTGGTCATATGAATCTAAAACTACTTTCA